GGCGGCTGCGGTGGGGCGCGGTTTCTGCTAAAGAGAGAAGTTAGGGTTTTTTTAGGAGTGGATGATTGAGATTGTCTTTTATTTAGATGGAGGGTGATGATTGATTTAGTATTTTACAACATCCTTTTGCTCATACGATGTAGAAGTTGTAAAATACTTAGATTTTTATTCTTTGAAGGAGAGTAATATACATCAATACAACCGGGTAGTATGCGGGTTCATATCCACTACCCAATAAGCATACCATACTAAATCTAACAAGCACAATCCTTTACAACTACTGGAGGTTTTAACAGTTTGTAGCTCAAACGCTTGGAGGGTCCAAGTTGAAATTACAACATAATTCAGTTAAAGTTTGTGGGGATGCCCACATCCTCAACAACCATAGTATGTTTTGTTCAATCTAACATCAATGTACCTTAAGTTCAATAGTTTTTTCGGGTTTGTTGAAACCTTATGACTAAGCATAATTTAGATATTTACTGTAAAGATATTCTCTCCATCTATCATAAGGTTAATGAAACCATATGTAGACCCTTTCTTTTCTCTCTGTGTTTTCTCTATCAATCGTCTTAATACCTAAATAGGTTCTGGAGTTGACCTCCATGACAAATATAAATTGGTTCTCAAAACACTTTTCTCCTTTTGTAGTTTGTGAGCACTTACCCTCTCCCAACATTCATGGTGTGGCTCATCGGTTTGATAGCACAATAGTTGAACAATGTCGTAGATCTCCTTTATACTTTTGTATGGGTACAACAGTGCTAATTCCCCTCTATACATTTTTTAGTATAAATAATCTCGTTAAATAGCTTAGTCAACCTTCATAAGCCATATCTTCATTGCATTTTCAAATTTAGATAGGAAATTATCAGGTCCTACCGTGCTATGCTCATCCTATTTTCATTTTGGTTAGCACAACTTTAATGTAACTAATCCTATTTTTTGGTGAATATCTATAGTCCCTATCATGAATTATATTGTTAGATTCTCTCCTTTGTTCTATTGGTCATCATTGAACCATTTATGAAAATAACTCCTCCATTTTTCAACATCGGTTACCAGAACTATATGATCTTTGCTCTGTACATTTAACATAACCTAAATCTCTAGTCTTTCCCACTCATCTTGGTAAGTTTATGTCTACACACTCTTGTTTGTGCCTGTATCTGTAGCCATACCATTACTCTGTCACATACATTAGTTTAATCCAGCAATTTTAGTACACACGCACAAGCAGCAAAGCAGTTTTTTCTGTTTTACTGTTCTAGAATCCTTCTTGTTATTAAGGAAACAAGTTTCATGCTCTAGGTTTCATGCTGTATCATTAATCAAGTTTCTTGCTATGGTTTGACTTCCCGAAATATAACATTATACGAAACTATATTATCTTTAGTAATGATCCAGATTCTGTGTTAGTAACAATTACTTCATTGTCAAAAGCACCTTGCATGTTATCTTTTCTATTGGACCATCAATAATGTTATTTCTTGTTTCAAACGAAGGCCTTCTGTTAGCACGAAAGTACGATAAACATAGTTGTTTTATTTATAGTGATGCATCATTATCCATTAGTTGCTTAATGCTTGATTGTCTTTTCCTATGGCATGTGAGAGTGAATTTGGTTTGGATGTATTTTCTTTCCTAGTTGCTGTCGAATATTCTTGTTTGCAGAATGCTTCTTTTTTGAAGCTATTGTGGGAGTTAAAAATTTTAAAATAAGAATCATCTATTTTGGCATGGAAATACTATGTGAAAATTATCCCTTTTTGCTACCCTAATGTTTTGGACTTTGCAGTCAGCTGCAGATCTGCTGTTCTATTTTCATTTATGATAAATAAGCAGCATGCATGCTTTCGTCCAGCTTTTATATTTTCCAACTGACAAGTGATCTCTCTTTTTCTTGAAAATTCATAGGCTGCAAATGAAACTGGTGCCTTGCGCGATGCAAAGAACAAACTCGAGAAGAAGTTGGAGGATCTTGCTTGGAGAGTAGCTCTCGAAAAGAGACTACGGGTATAAATCTATTAACATAAATGCACGATCATACATGTTATTTTATTTTGTTTGTTATTTATCCCTGTAGCTTGTGTTCTCTTCCTGTCATGCCATATTTTATGCTTGTATGAGGTTCTTCCTTGTATTGTCGTGCTTAGTGGTGATGATCTATGATCTTTCCATGACAATGAAATTTGAGTTTTGCCACATATTAAACAAATTGATAGAGTACCTTTAGCTGAAAGCCTATGCTAAGTTTAAAGGTAAACCCAAAGGGTAAGAATAACACAAAGGGAACTCTAAAATTATCTAATCCTGGAACTTTGTTCAAGGTATTTTTTTATTTAGTGCTGCATTATACTTGTGCTCAATTTTCTTTATATGCCTAACCATTGAGTTGCTGCAGGGAAGTGTAAATTTATCTTGAGATAAAATTTAGATCTTTAGCCTCGGGATATCTATGTTTCTCTATTATTCGATTAACTCTGCTATACAACTTAGCCTTTATTTATGGAAAATATAGAGGATGGAAGAAAGAAGTGCTTGCTCACCAAAAGTCTTTAAAAGAGGGACCGAGGAGAAAATAACTAAGCATAAAAACAACTAGCTCTATTTAAAAAAGATACAACAGAGATAATTGAAAGAAGATTTATAATGTGCAGGATATAGCTAGTGAGGGTCATCATCAGCTAAAATAAACAAGTTGAGAAACAAACAAAATAGTAGCATTTTCTGCAACGCATATGGTTGTTCTTCCCAAGAAAACNCACCCCACCCCCCACCCCCAAAAAAATAAAAATAAAATAAAAATAAAACTGGAAACTAAGTCTTCAAAACCAGAAGTACCCTTGCACAACGACTCTGGCTACAACTGATAACATAATAGCTATCAAATGTGATAGTGCTCATTCTACCCGAATGGTAAAATACACGACTGCTTTGAAGAAAAGTTTTTGTTCTCCAACTCATTAATTCTTAGCAATGCTTGTTCTGTACATGACTGACGATGTCAACAATACACAAATAAGATTAAAAAACTTATTCTGAGCAAATAACCTTGTGCCTAGAAAGCACAGCCCAGATTAAAAAAGTTATAAGACAATGAGCTGTAAAATAAAAGTTAGAAGTTTCCTGTAGATATAACCATCAGAAATACACTGTTAATAACAGTGCAGAAAAGAAATGAAATCCAAAAGTAAAAATAAAATAAAAAGCATTCAGTTTATCATTCCCTCAAATATTCCATGGGAAAACTGAAGCAGATATATCTAAAGTAATCTCTTAACAGAAGGATGAACAACAATTTGAGCAATACTACTAAAGGCCTTGCTGGAATACAACATTTCTATCCCCTCTATATAAGAACTTTATCTGTAGCTCACTACACTTCCAAACACCTTTCCAAATATCATTCAATCTGTCCAACTTTGATCTTCAAGTTTCCATATCTGCCTTTAATATTCTGAATTGATGAAATATAGGTAACAAGTGAAGAAACAAAAGCCATGGAAGTTTCAAAGCTTCAGAAAGCAATGGACTTGTTGAACTCTGAGCTGAGTGCTGCCAAATTGGCCACTATAAGTGAGCAAAAGAAGAATTCGGTTCTTCTAAGCCAGGTTGATGCACTAGCGAAAGATAAGGCAATGCTGGAAAGCAGTCTTGAGGAAATGGCTGAAGTAAGGAAGGAGAACTTTAATCTGAAGGTGTGGTACATGTTTTCATTTATGCGTTTCGTTTGGCCTTCATATAGCATATGTTTACTCGATTCAACTCTTTATACTTACTTGCTGGTGTAGTGCAATAACAGAGTTTTATTTTTATTGTTTATGATACAGCCTGTTTGTTGTCTGCTATAATTAAATTTCTTTCAGTAAAATATTATTTCTTTTATATATGTATTTCTATCATTTATCTACATGTGTTTCTTCTTTCTTTAATGTGGTTGGTGGGGAATTTGTATGTTTTTTGTTTTTCTTTGTGGGTGTGGGTTGAAGGGGTGTTTTTTTTGTGTGTGTGTGTGTGTGGGGGGGGGGGGGGGGGGTGAATCAACAAGAAAAGTTAGCTTTGTAAAGGATATTTCTCTCTTGCTTCCTTTATCTTCTAAAAATTACAATTCTCACCTGTTATCAACTCTGGACAGCCCTTCAGTCTGCCCTGTATCTGCCACCCACCCCAACCCCCCCCCCCCCCACACACACCACACAAAAAACACCCCACACATTAAAAAAACATTGTCCATAATCTGAAATTATTAATCAATCAGAGGGGGGGGGGGGGGGGTCCTTGCTATGCAGATAGTGTTAATGGAAAATTTGGATAATGGAGGATCTCGATCATCTTCTTTCATTAAATACATTACATCTCTCCTTCATTTGCTCATTCAGTTTTTTTCATTTATGCATTATTTTATGAGATGATATATTTTTCCTGTCAATTTTTATACCCAAGTGCGTTATTCTCTTTAAGAAACCTAGCAGAATATCTGAATATTGATTCATTGAATCAGGTTTTGTCATGTGTTTTAATAATCCGTGTCATGCTTTTTGGTTGTGTTGTTATATTCATTATGTAATGTGTTAAAGAAGTTGTCATTAATCATGTGTTTTCTAAACCATTATTAGATGACTGATTATTGTCTTTTATGTTTTTCTTTTTTGTAGAATTCGGTAGAGTCTCTGGCCAAGAAGAACTCAGACTTGGAGAGTGATCTGCAGAAAGTTCGAAACCATAGCAATGAAACGTTGAAAAAGTTGCAAGATATGGAAACCAAATACGTACAGCTTCAGCAAAATTTGCAGAGGTATTTACTTACTTGATACAGATGGTTCGGAATTAAATTCAATGATAAACGAGCGTCAACAGGTTTCATATTGTTATCTTACATTTTCTTGAAGTTAAGATACATGTATGTTTAAAACTGTATGTTTTATAGCACATTAGCATGTGCCATTCTTGTACCTTATATGATATCTTACCTTCGGACTAATTCATACTTATATTCATTGCTCTATTGTCTCAGCATGGAGGATAAGCTGTCTACATTACAGGATGAAAACCACATATTGAGACAAAATGCAATAAGCACCTCACCTCCAGCGAACAATCTTTCTGTGGTCCCAAAATTTTTCTCTGAGGTTTATTTTCTTTCTTATACTTACATTATTTCCCTAAGTTTTGTTGGTGTTGTTTTAGCTATATTTTCCTGTTTCCATAGGTACATATTATTTTACCATTTTGTATAGGCAGACTTGTGACAGTACTGAGTTTGGACTGTTTCTTTGTTATACAGAAGCATTCTGGAGAATATACGCTTCCAAATATTAACCAGAGTCCTACATTTGTAAGATCTGTTTTTCCTTCATTTCTTTTTTTCTCCTTTTTCCATGTGTTGTGCATTTTGCTGCATATGTTTTGCTTATTTCGTCTATTCCATATTTAAGATACTTGCTCCTCTGTTTTTTTTCCTCCTTCCAAGTATTATGCATTCCATGTTGAATAATGTGCTGTCATTCCGTATGCTGTCAGGAAAGTCCAACACCGACAAAATATGTTGCTGCTGTTCCACGCACCCTGTCAGAATCACGGCGATCTAGAATGACCATGGAGAAACATGAGGTGATCCTCTACTCCTTTGATAATTTATTTTCATAGAGTATAGCTGCTTTAGCGGAGCTGATTGATGTATTTCTTTTGAAGATCCGATAGTAGTCATTTTTTGTTCCTGCTAATGGTGTTTTCACCTTACTTTTTTGTGCCTTCGGCACAAGGGTTAATTGGATAATTGGTCGTCGTAGTTATCTCGTAATTGGACGTTCATACCTATGTTTCAATAGCTTGGGTAACTGGTCATGTAACTAAATACTAATTGGAACGTTAATCACTCCTAATGCTCTTCATCAATTATTATAAGGATTCTGGTGACGTGGCACATAAAAGATCTTGGTCATTTGACATAACAGTCTTATTCTTGTGTAACATCTTAATCACTTGTGGAAATGAAAATTTGCGGCATATTTAGCAACTTGTATTGGGTAATTATATTGCATTTGACATTTTGTTCTTAAAAATATTGACTTGTGACATATTGAGTAAGATGTATTACTTAAAAATGAATGAAAATGTATAATTTAAATTGATAAGAAGTGTTAGAAGTGACTAGCAATCAAATTAGTATCTAATTACATGACCGGTCATCCAAGCATTTAAAACGTAGGTATGAGCGTCCAGTTGCTAGATAAATATATGACCAATGATCCAATTAACCCTCTGCTAGACCAATAGTCAAAAGTTCCAATTTTTTGTATGAATGCTTAAACTAGTAATTAATGAAAATCCTTCTTCAATTGTCATCTCATCTGGATAAAAAATGATATTGTTATGCAGGAAAAACATGAACTTCTTTTTCGGTGCATCAAAGAAGATTTGGGCTTCAAAGATGGCAAGCCAGTTGCAGCTTGTACAATATATAGATGCCTTCTCCAATGGCGTGCCTTCGAAGCTGAGAGGACCATTATATTTGACTTTATAGTTGAGTCAATCAATGATGTTCTTAAGGTTGACACAGACTTGGCTTTAATCATTTGGTCAATGTGTATATCTCGTACTGATACATGTAGTTTCTGTTGATAAATGTTTAGGTGGATGCTGAACATGATATCCTGCCATATTGGTTGTCCAATACATCAGCGCTTCTATGCCTCTTGCAGAGGAATCTTCGTTCAAATGGCTTACTTACTACACCTGCTCGGCGTTCTGCCGCTTTGGGGTTAAGTGGAAAAGCAACACCAGTAAGCATTGCCTTCTAACTAACTTGATATACGTTTTTTAAAATTAGTTTGTTAAAGACATTAGTTTCACTGAATCTTGCTGGTAAGAAATATCTTGGTCTATAGCTTCTTTTAATGCTTATTCAAAAAAGTCCTTGCTTCAGAGCTCATTATACACATGTACTAGTGTTGTAATGAATAAAGGCCATTTGTTGACCGGTCATTTGAATTTTTCTTTTAATCCTTTGTGCAGTATGTTAGTTTCAACTGAGATTTGGCGTCAATTTACATTAGTTTGCAAATATTTTCTCATTTTTCACTTGATACGTTTAAGATCGAACTTTGCTGGGCTAAGAATTTTTATTGTTTCACTTTTAACTACGGACAATTTATTGCAAGTGTACATAGTTTTCCCTTCTGCTCTCTTTTTCTTTTAAAAAATTATAGTTATATAAATGTAGGCATAGACCCGATTCAAATTTATTTCAGAATGTATATCTACGCAATATCACATAGAAGATCAGGAGATATTGTAGGCAACTGCAGATGTTTTTTTTGGAAGCTAAATTTTCTTTTTACAAACTTGAAATTGTATACTAGAGCTTAAGTTTAGGCTATGGCAATTCTCAGTATGGCATGAAGGCAATTGAAATGATGTTTATGAGTTTTGAGAGACCTTTCTAAGCATGAAATGCTTGTGTTCGTTTGTATATGAATTGCTAAAACTAGATATGTAAGTTAGCTAGGGATGTGAAGCCCAAAAGATCTGTCTTTATCTTTTTTTTCCTTTATTCAAATATATGGCCTCCATAAGATCCCCTCCTCAAATCAATCCTTGCCTTTGATTTCTCATCGTTCAAACAAAACTTATGAACCCAAACCCTGCTGCAGCCTACTGAACCAAGAAACCCTCTCCCACTCTCTTGGCGCCTGCATCTATCAACAGCCACTTCCTCCTTTCATCTTGTTCTCACCAAAACCAGCCTAGGCCCACCCACTTAAACAACCCCACAGTGCCCATACCCCTTCACCATAAAACAACACAATCCTCCATCCAATCACAATAATTTTCCAATCTGTTCTGTCTACAGCAGCCAATGACAGCCCTCCTTCCTGTCTAGTGACAATCAAAATCCACTCCAAGAAAAAATAATACGAAGCCCGCTTACTACACCAGGGAACCCCATCTTTGTACCCGAACAGTGAGGATCTCATTCAAACAACTCAAATGCTGAAATCAGTCAAAACAACACCCCTTAGATCATTGGCATATTCCATATCCGCATCAGGAGTCATGAAAAGAATGGGCACTAGATGGAAAAGAATCGGCGCTAGATGGACAAGTTGGATATGAGTTCAGCCTCAGTTTCATATATATATTGAACTGATTAATAGCTAATAACCCTTACGGCTCAATGGGATTTTATACTTCTGTTTACCATAGAATGCATTTTTAATTATTTAATTATGTAATCGATATATCTTTTGTGATTCTATATGTCTACATTTCTCTTTAACTTGATTTCTGGTTGACATTTCTATTCCAGGCTCAGAAAACTCCTTTACGACTTATGGGACGTGAAGATAGTGTGTCACATGTGGATGCAAGATATCCAGCTATATTGTTTAAACAGCAGTTGACTGCCTGCTTGGAGAAGATTTTCGGATTGATTAGGGATAATTTGAAGAAAGAGTTATCACCACTTCTTAGTCTATGCATTCAGGTGAGAACAATGCATCTTTTTTCTACTTTTATTCCTTTCCTAAGGAAAAGTTTAGTTTTATTATTCCTCATATCTCATTTATTTCTAATTTCCACCACCAAAAAAAATCCTGCTTCAAGTATATCTTTCCTTTTTTGCCATTACAGTTGGCTATCTTTCCAAAGGGTTCTAGGACTACGAGTTATGCTTTTTCAATGTGGAGCTGTAAATTGATGGAAAATTTGATCTGACCAGGCCAATTTGCATTAGGGAAAGGACTTGTACTTAAATTGTTAAATTTCTTATTAGTTGATTGCCTTGAAGGGTAAAATCTTAAGGTTAAAAAAGAACATGACAGCGACTACTCTTAACATGCATAAATTACTCATTAATATCTACCGTTAAGCTGAATGGTCTAAAATTTTCCAATTTGAGGAAGTAAGAGATGTTTACCTAAGAACAGAATACTTTTAACATTTCTCGTTATTACTACAAAGTAACTTTTTCTAGTTGGAGGGCTTAAAAGAACTTTTCTCTAGCAGAGCTATTGAATGCTAATTTTGCCCCAGTTTAATTAGTAGCTCTGCTAGTTTTATTGACTTATAATTATACCTTTCACACATCATTTTGGAGGTGAACACAGTTGATGTTGGTCTTTGCATCTTGTCATAGATGGAGAATTATAATTGAATCATGATTATCAAGAACAATGTGATGCAGAATATCCAATAAAACAATTGTGCTCGTTTCATTCTATGAAATGCTACTAGCTTTCCAAATACTTGTGTGATAGGAGTATTTCAAGCTTTTATTTATAGCTCTTGATTCTAGGCGACAAGGTCATACTAGGATGGGAAATACAAGATCTCATATCTTGAACAATATCTTGAGTTGCGGCTTCAAAGTTTGTAGGATCATTTTTTTATGATCTCTTGTTATTATATTATATTGTACGTATAAGAATCCTTTGTTGATTTTTATTAGCAAAAAAGAGCTTTCGTAAAAAACGCTATCTATTATTAATTAGACATGAATTTGATAAAAGGTTGATGCTTCTTATTCATATATTTCATAAATAGCTTGCCCATTAACCTATTCTGATTAAACTGGAACATATCCTCGTCTCTTTGATGAATAAGAGGCTTAAACCATATTCATCTTTTATGTATTCACTATTGTTGGTGTATTATCTGAAGGCCCCAAAAACTACTCGAGCACATGCTGGTAGAGCATCTAAATCACAGTGCGGTGGCGTTCAACAGCCATTGAGCATTCACTGGGATGGCATTGTCAAATTTTTAGATTCACTATTGGCTCGATTACGCAATAACTATGTGAGT